TACACTCTTAGAAAATCCTTCTCCTTCTCTTCCACTATTATTCCCTTCACATGTCCTCCCTTGCTGAATACCATGCTCAGCTACCATATTCATCTTGGGAGCTCTTATTGGAGGTTGAATGAGAGCATCAATCAAGCCTTCCCAAGCAACCTGCAATTTGGAGGTGCATAGTTCATTTTCAAAATACCCAAGAAAGAATTGACTATATTATTCAGCATATTAAAACATCTAGGTTTAGAAATAAATTCTAGCAAGGCATCAAGTGAGATAGGTCAGTAGTACCCTTGAGACACTGCATTAAGAAATACACAATATGCACATATCAAGTACTTTATTGTTAGTAAAACTATATTTGTTGGAACCAGTGGATGTCAGGATTAACTTCATCGGTCTGGCTGGCATTAAATCTTAGGTCGGTCTCAGGCTAGAACAAAACTAATGTCAACAATTTGTGCGTGGCCTAGCATTCCTCCCAATACTTTGGATGGAACAACTGAGCTCGGTTGACATTGGCTAGAGTATAATTGATTCATTCCACATCTTAGACTGTCATCATCACCATATTAATTGTGGTTTTTTGGGAAGCGGGTTTTTTTAGTTGTAGGATATTATTGGAGAAATTTTTTTTTGTGTTTGGGAAGATAGTTGGATTTTTTTGTGGTTGGATGTGATGTTTGTGAGAGAAAAAATGAAATGATTATGGGGTTTGATATAATATTTTGTTTGGATTTGTTTTTTTTGGTTTTGTAACCAATTTGCCTTTTAGTGAAAAAAAACCAAAAAAAATCCTTCCCAAACACCGCCATTGTCTTCCGGACTCTTGTGAAATGCGCAAGAGTACCAATACATGCAAATTTCTAGGAAGTGCCACATGAATCTCACAATTTCTTTTACATTAGATAGTAGACATGTCAATTCATTCATTTCAGACACATATATTGAACCCTTGACCTCTATCAATTAAGTCTCCTACGCATTGTTGTCAAATCAGGATATGAATCGTCTGAGAAGCATGGACACGGACACGTGACACGACATGGATACGATACGGACACGCTGACACGTTAATTTTCAAAAAATACAAGACACGATACGTGGGGGACACGCATGAAATATATAATTTTATAAATTTATTATATATTATATATATAAATATATCATTCAAATATAATATAAAATGCAATATGACACTAATTTCTATAAATTTATATGGGTTTTGTTTTATTATTATATCTTAACTTGTTGTATTCAAACTTATAATTACCACACACTTACCATCACCTACCACACACTCACCTACTACACTCACCTACCACCACCATCCACTACACCTACATCTATATAAGGAACCATTTGTAATAGACAGAAAATCAACAATAAACATCAATCAATAATACATAAATTCTTACATGGTATCAGAGCAAGGTTAAGACCTTAGTATTTCTCGCTTCACCGGCGGGCGGCAACCTCGCCTTGGCCGCCCGCCGGACCTCAACCTATTCCGCTTATTTTCTACACATACCTTGACTTCTTCAACATTTTCTTACACCCCTCCTCCGCTATGTCGGCGGCGGCACCCGCATCATCGTCTAGCCTCTATCGCCGTTCACCTCGCCTCTCACATATCCAAAATTAGAAGTTAGAACAGCAAAACAAAAGAACGGAGAAGATGATACTTCTATGCACAACTCGTATCTCGTTTCATACGATGGAAGAACACATATTTGGATTTATACATGGAAAAGGGTTTGAACTTAGAATGCGTTTGGTTTGGCTCCAAATAGACACAAACTTGATATTGAAATCTTTTCAATGGGATTAGCTCATGAAGAGTTAAAAGGCTAACTGACATGCATTCAGTTCAAAGAGGCACCCAAAATTGTACTGCTGGAGGATTTCAACTCTCTAACAGAAGGTCAACACTCATGGCAAGAAAACACAAAGATGGAAACAAAGAAGCTTTTTAATCATCACGCAGAACAAAAGTGCATTTTAAGGAGGGGAGTTCAAGAAACTTACAGTTGCTCGAGTTACGCCAGGAAGACAGCTATCAACATGAGGTGTCGCAACATGGCCTCTCTTCACTAAGAACTGCGTTAAAGAGAAACAATATTCACTCTCAAGATGCACATGCAATATCTTCAATGAAAATACTCTGCAATGATGAGAAAAATGCTATGCCTTTGGAACTAGCAAACAGCCATGGATTGGTCTACCAACAGTATGGTAACACCATTGACATAAGTATAGTCAGGTCGGATCAACAATAATGTGTTCATTGGAAATTTTGATAACTACATTTGTAGTTGAATGCATCAGCAAAACAATCCACTCTTAATACTCTATCCTCACATTTTCAATTAATATATATATATATATATATATTTAATATGACAAGTAGCAATCCTGACTGGGCCCCTTGGTGAGTGCCTCCTTCCAATTGTTGGTATCTCATCCATATGGATTGCCTAAAAGCAATTTAAGACTTCCCTCATTTATTGATAAACAATGGCAATGGAAAATGAGCAGAAGCATGATTTGTTGTCGGTGTGTGATTTGTAGATTTTGGTGTTTTAGGGCATGTTTGGTTTATCTCTCAAAACATGTTTTTGGAGAAAAAATTCCAAAAACATGTTTGTTTGAAATTTTTTTTAAAAAAATTCCAAAATCACTTTTCTCTCTACTACACATCAATCAATCACTTTTTCTCTCTCCTCTCTACTTCCTAATCACTTTTTCTCTCACACCCATCTATTCAACTATAAAAAAAATATCAAATCATCCCAAACTCCAAAATTATTTTCAAAATATACAACCAAACAAATTTTCAAATTTTCTAGACTCTCTCCAAGAAAATTATTTTTGAAATAATATCTCAAAACACAAACCAAACAAGGCCGTAGTCTTTCTTTGCTTCTTCTTGGAGAGGATGTCTTATCCTCATTGCATCTTTTTGATTAATCATTAAAGTTTGCAGTTGATCAAAAAAAACAAAAAAAGAGCAGAAGCATGGCTTACAATGTTTGTAGCATTTGTTTCAGACACATAACCTTCCTTATCAAGCATTATGGCATCATCAGCATTTGCATTATTCGCTTCTATCTGCACCAACACGAAAAGTTCAATTCATCTTAGACAAATTCAGAAAGAGCACACTTTACAAATTAGATGATATTACAATAATGGATTCTACTACGCTAGTAGACATGAAATATAGCAGCCGCGTGATCATGAATTTGATAGCCCAACTCTAAACGACTTAAGTAATAAATTATCAGATCATCAAAAACAAATAGTAAGTCCATAAATTAGTTAGCTCCGTAAGATGAAAGAAATTCTTCATTAGAAAAATTCCGCAAAAGCAGAAACCTGACTTTATCTTTTATGATTGATTAGCTGTAACCTACTTGCTCTGAAAATGTACTTCCTCACATACCAAGTGAAGAGAAGAAGCATCATCAACACCACACGACGTATCATTTCTGCAATACAAACATCATCTTGTATTTCTAGACATTTGAATAAAGCCATACCTTCGCTAGTATGTTGTTGAGGAGGTTGTTGTGGTGAATTTTGGAATCCAAATTCTGGCAAAGACCCCAAAAAAAATCATGTTATTTCATTGGAAAAGGAAGGTATCAACCACCAGCAATCATTGGTTGTAACTAAATTATACTGCATCGACAAATTATTTTGTTAATTTAGGTTGAAAAAGAGCTACAATGTTATGACACCACCTTTCAGTGTCTTCACCAATGGTCTGACACGACCATACAGTGTCTCCTATCCTTTTTTATTTTTATGTATTTTCTTGTTTTGTAACTCTCTCCAAACTCAAGTTGGTTAGTTCCTATCCTCCTTGAGTTTGCGGGGGGCTGTTAAAATTTACCATCACCTACCACACACTTACCATCACCTACCACACACTCACCTACTACTCACCTACCACCACCATCCACTACACCTACATCTATATAAGGAACCATTTGTAATAGACAGAAAATCAACAATAAACATCAATCAATAATACATAAATTCTTACAGTTTCACATGTGTCTAATCGATAAACACGTGTGTTTAAGTGATTGACACATGTGTCCTCCAAGTGTTCAAAGAGTGTTTGGATCTTTAAAAAAAATTTAAAAATAGGACACGTTTTGAAGAGTGTCAGACACGTGTCCTAAGAGTGTCCAAAGAGTGTCGGTGTCCGACACGAACACGATACGGATACGTCACCTTCTTAGAAGTGTCCGTGCTTCTTAGTGAATCGTGTATCGTTTTTTAATTTTTCTGAATCGTGTATCGTATTGTGTATCGTAAGATGTTTTAATACCTTTAGAAATAGGTTGAAAAATAAATATAGTTATAAAAAACAAGTATCTTATGGGAATAAAACACTAAACAATATATAATTCCGTCAATTACAAAAGCAAGTTCCTTAAATTAAATATATACATGCAACAATACATATTATCTTTACAAAGCATAAATTAATAACGCAAGATTCTTAACCATACAATAGATATGTCAAAAAGGTCGAGAAATAAACTAAAAAGTACCATTCTCATATCAAAAATACCTTTTATTTTTTAATAGGTTAATGAAAATTTTCGACAATATTGATTTACATAAAATAATTTGAACATTTTTTTTTTCTTCAAATTTGCTAAAGAAATTTAAGTATTTGTGTAACTGTTTGCATTCTTCAAAATTTCCTGTTGCCACTCAAGAAATCCTGTAAGTGTGAACACAAAAAATGATTGTTGATTGAATGCGGGTGTGCTAGAACTTGTGAACCTAGTTCGAAGTGTAGGAATTGTTGACCATTTCTGACTTCTAACACAGAGAAATGACTATGTGTGGCTAAGATGAACCGCCACTGGTTCGGATCTTGCCCCAATGAAGAGGACTTTTAACAAATTTAAAGGTGCCAAAAGATAATTAGACTAAAATTGTGACTTGCATGGATTGGAAATGAAGTACAATTGGTAATCTAAAACAACTAAGCTAAGAAGCTAAAGGAACTGAGCCATGAAGCTATGAAAGGAAAGTTATGAAGCTAATCTAAGGTAATGAAGCTATGAAACTAAGATAAATGCGCTATTGAAGCTAAAATGAATTGAAAGACATGTATTGAGAGACTCTTGGTCGAGTGTTTGGTCTGGGACCCCTTTAATGTTGCACTTGGAACCCTTTATATAGTGTTGGGAAAGTCCCAAATCATGCTTAACTGCTTTAACCATGGCAGCCAATCCTGGTGACATGCGTCCTTGATACTAATCTCCATTCCCCAAGAGTAGGAACGACTTTGATCTTCAAATGCTAAGGCCTATACTTATCACATTGACTTGGTCCATCAAGCTTCCATAGGTCACCATGTGTCCCTCAAGAATCAAACTTGAATTTATTCTACTTGATTTATGGAAGAACATCTCCTTCGTTGTTGTATGAATTTCCGTCTCTTTGCTGTGCACGCCTATCCTCAAGGAATTCTGTGAGAACCCGAATATACAAATAAAATAAATAATTAAATAATAATTATTTAACAAACCTCAAATATTTTACCTGTGAATCTTAAGGTGAAAATTAAATATTACTGAACGATCTTTTAATTAATTTTAAACCTAAAATAAATTTTTGGTGAAAGTCTTTGATTTAGAGGTAAGATTTATTATTAAAAAAAAACATAGGGGGCAAGTTAGTAAGTATATTTTGATCTAATAATAAATAAATAATAATTTAGAGTCTTTTAGGTTTAGATATATAAAGCAACCCTAGTTTTCCTAATAAAAACCCTAACTCTTATTATAATTGTTTTCCACAACACTTTCAACACATAGCAGCCACGGGAGAGGGAGAGGGAGAGGGAGAGGGAGGGAGGGAGAGAGAGAGAGAGAGAGAAACTTCCAGCACCTTTGTGGCTCAACAACTCTAAGGTAACAATCAATCTATTCTTGTTCTATTATAGTATGTTGTTTACATAGTTATGGTGTATGTGGGTGTTGTGAGTTGTTGGAAGAAAAATGAACGGTTTGGCTGATTGGGATAGTGTGTTGTGTGTATTATTATCGTGCAAAATTTTAAAGAGAATTAAGGAGCTAAAGTCGTTGGATAAGAATTCTGCACAAAATCACAAACTTTAAAAATTAAGAAATCATATCAAACGGACGAATTTTGAACTGAAATTTTTACAGTAGCTTAATTACACGTTGAAATTCATACAAGAATTTTCTCATAATTTTTGGGAGTCAAAATCCATATAAACTGATGCCTTCAAATCTGTCCAGGAAACTAATACAAAATAGTAACTTCGGAAGTGTCGTTCTCTTTGGGTATAAATCCGAAAATTATCAAATCAGCGTCATTAGAACCGGTTACGAGTCTAGTTTCTTACATTTTTGGCCTTGCATTGATTGCTCGTGTATACTAAAAGAACCATTAATTTCTTTAAAGTGCTGCAGAAAGTGACCAGTTTGGATATAATTAATTGTAAATAATTATTTTGATAAGCAAATCAAGTAAAACCAATTGGGTTTGAAACTTAGGATATATTAGTTGATATCTGGAGGGTTTTGGAATTTTTTGAACACGTAGAGTGGGTTTTTAATTTTCAAAGTTCGCAAATAAATTGGAAAAACTTATTTAAAATTCTGTTTTATCTCAAAGTCACATTTAATTAAATTTCGATCTGAGCCCATGTCATGAGTAATTTGAGACCTTGAAGAAC